TGGGGGATTAGGAGATGCTCCCTTCTTCACTCTTATGAGTGTCATCCTTGTGTTGTATTCAGCCACAGTCTGTACAGTGGAACAACAGAGTATTGGCAGGGAAATATGGTGTTTCTTCCTCAAAACTGATAAAGTTGCTTTGTGTTTCAGCACCGCATGCGTCCTGAAATTGCCCAGCTTCTCAGTCCTCATATATACCAGGAGCTGGAGAACCATCCCTCTGTCCTGAAGTATGAGAACATAAAAGTGAGTTTTCAGCAATCCAAGCAATTGCTTTTGTCCCTTGTTACTGGCTAAAATGAATTTCTGAAAAAAAGTGTTCAGGGATATCAAGTTCAGTTATTGGAATTTTTACCTGAATCAAGGAAATGTGTGATACAGAGTTAGGCAAGTAACTTGTACTTCTGGCATTAGTGATGATGGACACTGGAAATGGATCCAGTACTGATGACTTTAAAAGGACATTGGAAAATGGGAGCGGGACCAAAAGAATTGTAGGAGATTGAAAGTTAGGAAGAAATCTTAAATGAAAGACTTGAAGCATAATATGTGAAACTCCAACCTAAGATAGATGACTTGATTACTGGAACTCTCCTTCCTTGGGTTCTCTGGGCATTTTACCAATGCACAACATCTGCAAACAAAACCTGTTCACCTTAAAAGTATAAAGCAATCACTTCTTGGCTAACACTTACAATAAACAGCTAGAGTTTAGTGAGTTGTAGGCATTAGTATGCTTGCCATACCGTAAGACACTTGAAGAGTCTTAGGCGGGTATCAGTCAGAAGTGTCAGCCTCTACTTCTTCCTTAACATTACTGAGTTTCCATCTTAATACTAACTCCCTGTTTTCTGATTTGTTTTTTCCCCCATTGATTATGATTTAATCTCTCTCCATGTTGGTGCTTTTTTTCATCTTTGAACTATTAACAATCGTATCTCTAACTTTACCATTCTTATATTGGATAGTTGTGTTCTGTGGACTTGCTTGCAGCTTTCTCTCTCAACTTAACTATTTCCCCAGAAGTCTGAGCCAAGGTTACACTGCTGTGCTGTATTAGAGCCACGTCTTGCATCTCTGAATAACCTAGAAGAAAGAATCGGAGGTAGTTACAGAAAGAGGATTACAGTAGTTTAGCCTATGTAAATCTCTCTTCATTAAAAGACAGTACTAATTAAGTACTAAAAGCTCTTACTGTATGAGGAAAGCATACTGAAAACTATAGCAGAATGCTGAAGCCAGACAAGAGAAAATTAATACTGAAGATGATTTAATTAATAGAATAAGCTACCTGGGAAAGTGGCAGGTCCTCTTGGTACCTTGAAATCCAGATCAAGTATTTTGTAGAAGATGCTTTCGTTAACAAAAACCCCCAAATCCAACCAAACAAGAAAAAAACCAACAATGAAAACCCCACCCAAAACTTATAACTTAAGAGACCACAAAATTTTAGCTCATTTCTCCTATGAGAATCCGTTCTGGACGCTCTTATGATTCCACCTGGCCTTAACGCAAACTTGAAGTACCAAAAGGCATCAAAATTGAATCTTCCCATCTAACCAACATGGGTGATCCCTGAGGTTGTACAGCAGTGGATACTATGCCATTGTGGACACCTTCCAAAACCTGGGATGTGTTTGATCTACAAAAACTGGTCTTTACTGATAAAAACAGTCTCTGGGTTTTGACATGCAACCCAAGAATTTGTTATGGGCAGAACAATTCTGGTTAATACGTGAAAGATAAAGGTCACTGTGAACTTAAGGCAAGTGGAATTTTTGAACAGGTGAGCAGACAACTCTGTACCCCTGAAGCTGGTAAGTGATCACTGGAGTCCCTAATGTTCTTATTTTTCCTGGTGGAAAAGCATTTTTCCCTGCTGCTTCATGTTTTTACTGCAGTAACAGAGTAGGCATGTCTTTGGCTAGGCAGTTTTAAGCAAGTGCTAAGCCCTGTGCACTGGTAACTTACTATCTTTTTGCCACGTGGCCAAAACAATTGTTTGTGCCGCTAATGTGAAATAGAACTGTGATGCTTTGAGAAATGTTAACTAGCACTTAATCTTCTCTTTCCTATGACCTGAAAAGGTACAGTAGAAGCAACTCTGAAAAGCCAGGGAATAGAATCATCCACAGGAACTGATTTTGTGTTAGGATACTGCAATGTCACTTGTCAGCTGAAATGTGATTAATAACCTTAAATTCCTATGCGATGAATTACACTATGGAAATCTAAGAGGAAATTGCTGCAGTAACTGCAGAACATAATCCTCTCTTAAGAGTCCTCCTGTGAGTGGATAATGGGAGATATGGGAAGAGGCTGTACTGACAGAAGTTAGCATTCTGTTTCTGACGTTCCTGTCTCTTATTTCAGGGGGTCTTATCTAACCTCTTCTTTGTGGAACATGACTTCCCTGAGCAAGAGATCCAGGAAGGGAAAAGCCACCAGAACACACATGAGGCCCGGTTTGTAGTGGAGCTGTGCAAATACTTCTTGTGTCAGGATTATCTACCTTCGCAGATCACCATTCTCACGACTTACACTGGACAGCTTTTCTGTCTGCGTAAGCTCATGCCAGCTAAGACTTTTGCAGGTGTGAAGGTTCACGTAGTAGATAAGTACCAGGGGGAGGAAAATGACATTATTCTGCTGTCACTTGTGCGGAGCAACAAGGAGGAGAGAACTGGATTCTTACAGATCCCTAATCGGATATGCGTAGCATTATCCAGAGCAAAGAAAGGGCTGTATTGTATTGGAAATATGAGAATGCTTGGCAGCGTTCCTCTTTGGAGCAAGATCATTCACACCCTTCGGGAGAAAGGTCACATTGGCCGCTCATTGGTGCTTTGCTGTCAAAATCACCCTGAAACCAAGACATTTGTATCTACAGCAGCAGATTTCAGCAAAGTCCCAGAAGGTGGCTGTAGTCGTCCCTGTGAGTGTAGGTTGAGTTGTGGACATGTTTGCACAAGGGCATGTCACCCGTATGACACACAGCACAAAGAGTATCAGTGTCTGAAGCCTTGTCAAAAGGTGCTTTGTGCAGATGGGCACCGCTGTCCACGGTCATGTTATGAGCCATGTGGACCGTGCATGGTTGTAGTGGAGAAAACTGTTTCAAAGTGTGGCCACCTGCAGATGGTCCCATGCTCTATTTCAGACACTGAGTTTCTTTGCCAAGAACCTTGCCAGAAAAAGTTGAACTGTGGGCACACATGCAACAAATTCTGTGGGCAGGAGTGCACTAAGCGGTGTCCTGAACTGGTTACCGTCATGCTGAAATGTGGCCACAACCAGCAAGTTAAATGCTGGATGACAGAGGAGATGAAACACGAGACACCTGTGGAATGTAAGACCAAGTGTTCTGTCACACTGAAGTGTGGTCATGTGTGCTCAGGCTCCTGTCACACCTGCTTTGAAGGACGATTTCATAAGCCGTGTAACAGCCCGTGCAAGCGCTTCTTGGTCTGTTCCCACAAGTGTCAGCAGCCTTGTACTACAGAATGCCCTCCGTGTCAGCTGGAATGTCAGAACCACTGTATCCACAGTAAGTGTAAAAAGAAATGTGGGGAGCGCTGTTTTCCATGTGCTGAGCCGTGTGAGTGGCGGTGCCAGCACTACCAGTGTACCAACCTTTGCTCTGAACCATGCAATAGGCCTCGCTGCAATGTACCGTGTGCTAAGCTACTGCGCTGTGGTCATCCTTGCGCAGGGTTGTGTGGAGAGCCCTGCCCAGAGAAGTGCCTTGTTTGTGACCATGAGGAACTCACCCAGATCTTTTTTGGCTTTGAGGAAGACCTAGATGCTCGATTTGTACAGCTTGAGGACTGTGGCCATGTCTTTGAGTCCCAGGGCCTTGACCATTATATGGATGAAGATGATGATGATGTCATCAAGCTGAAGGTGTGCCCTCTCTGTCAGACACCTATTAGAAAGAACTTGAGATATGGCACCATAGTGAAAAGGCGGCTGGATGAGATAGAAAGGGTGAAAGAGAAAATCCAAGGCCCAACACAGGAAATTGAGTCTAGTCGACAAAGACTGCAGGCTGCACTGACAGGGAGTGCTGTTCTTCAGAGGAACCTACCCCTTAAGTACCTCATGCTGGAAGATAAACTAAAAGCTTCTGATCTCTCCACAAAGAGCATTGGACTAATTGAAAACCAGCTTAACTTCTACAAACGTGTAGCAGACTTAATTAATTCTATGAGCAAAATTGATGCCAGTGAAAGGAAAGGGTTGAGAAAGCGGCTGCATGAAGTCCAGGAGTGGATGGATAAGCCACGCCTCAGTTTTACAGGCCAGGAGCTCTCTGACCTGCAGTCAGAGATCCAGAGACTGACTTATTTGATGAACCTCTTGGCAAGGTGCAAAGGGGCGAGCAGGATGATCACCCCAGCGCTGGGCGTAGAGATTGCCCGTGTGCGTGCGGTCCTGGAGGGGACAAAGCCCTTCACAGAGGAGGACGAGGGGGCAGCGAAGGCTGACCTGGAGCGGCTCTGCGCGGCCCTGCCCCTGTCGGGACTGGGGGTCTCTGAAGCCGAGCGTGTGCAGATCGTCAGCGCTATCGGCTGTCCCCGTGGCCACTGGTTCAAGTGCAAGAACGGGCACATCTATGTGATCGGGGACTGCGGGGGGGCCATGGAGAGGAGCAGGTGCCCCGAGTGCCAGGCGGTCATCGGGGGCGCGAACCACGCCCTGGACAGCACCAACAGCCTGGCCCCCGAGATGGACGGCGCCACGCACGCCGCCTGGTCCGAGGCCGCCAACAACCTGCTCGACTTGGCGGCGCTGCACCGCCCGCTGTAGCGTCCGCGGCCCGGCCCCAATAAAGCGCCTTTCCCGCCGCGCCGCCTGCTCTGTGGGGGCGGGGCGCGGACCGGAAGCGGAAGCACGGGGGGCAGTGGGGCGATGACCGGAAGCGCGGGGGGGTGTGTTACTTTC